GTCGATCGATAATTTAGGTCGATTTATAAATTAGCCGGCATACTAACATTATTTGCGTGACGCCGATTAATCCTCTTCCGTCTGCTATTCGCGAAGAATAGCAGCGGAGTGAAATTTGGAAAACAAATCGTTCTAAATCTCCTGCAGGAGAAACCGACTTATCCTCATTTCAGTGGAAGCCGGTTCGCGAATACACGCGATATATTTTCAAACGTCCATTTTTTATCAATTTAAAGTAGACTTTTTCTCAAAGGAAAAGTTTTGTAATTTCAGAATATTCAGTTTTTAAAAATAAACTCAATTGGTCAGAAAACTCACATTAAAAAATAGCTTGCTCGATTTAAAGCTCTTCATAAATACAAACGTTGCGATATATTAATAATAAAATTTTTAAACGATACAGAAAAACGTAAGTGACTGAAAATCATAAATGATGGTAAAAATAATGCACTGAATGAGTGCTTCAACGTAAAAATATGTGGATATGAGTGCTTAAAGAATAAATATTTAACCATTTATCTAGAGATCGCATTTCATTATACTATCATCCATTATATTGACTTGCCTCTTTCTGAGAAATATTTATTAATATTATTTTAATATTATGATTTTATTTGATTACGATTTTATTACTATTATAATATAAAATGCTTCTATATATTTGATAAAAAAAAGTTTTTTCGAGATATGCTGCGGACATTATCAAATTTCTGAATCTAAAGCATTCGACTTTCTCGATTTTGTCATTGATCGGTGATAAATTTTGCAATAAATCTTTGCGCACTACTACGATTTTTTGTAGATCTGTCGTTCTATTTCGTCGAGCTGCAAAATCGGCCACGAGTTCACGTATTAAAAGCCAATAAGTTAGGACTGGCACGCTGCCATTTCAATCTCGTGGGTCTTGCTCGAGGAAATTCGTCGACGAGCCGTCTTCCCGTCCTAGGTCCTGATTAATTGCAGGATACAAGTTGATTGATTTCGCGTACAATGGGTAAACAAAATATTCGTTCGCGGCAACCCCTTCGTTGCAGTTAACGCCATTTTCTGCACTCAAAGGAGATTAAAACTTTAATTGTATAAACATTTAATACGACAATTATTATAAAAATATTTCATAAAATTTGATATCTGAGAATATTTATATATTTTTCAGATATTTGGTAAAGTACTTTTGTCTGATTATAATTTTATAATTTTTCTTATTTGCAAGAACGATAAAGCATGATATCGCTTACAAACGACGTCTTTTTTAACGGCCATAAATAAATATGTAATATAACTGTAGCTACTTGTGAATTTTTCATATATGCGTATACATAAAATAAAAACCTAGAGCTTGGACACATTTTATGGTTATGGAAATATCTTGCAAGCGCATATCTTTCCGTAAGTATGTCGCGTTTATGGATCCATCGACCAATTTGACATAGATTTTTTTTAAATAAAAATTTGATTACGCCACCTTGTCACGCAACTTGCCCAGCTGAGTAACTTTATAACTAAATCTCGAAATGAGAAAATTTTCGTTGAAGTAAAGTTTGCTCGAAATTAACTTAAGGATTCGATTGTGTTATCTATTCATAACTTCTGCATTATCATTTTTTTTTTTCAATTTTAAGTAGTTCAAACCTGGCAAGAAAACCAGTTGAAGGAGGGGTTACTTTCCAGTTAGCATTCTTCTCTTCTTCCATATGAAGCAGCGTTAAAACCATCATTAAAATATTTATTGGCAGTTCACGGCGGGCTGTATATTTTTGAAACGAGTCTCTAAGAAGCTTATAAATATTTTATCTCGCTTATACGGAAACTCGACCCTTAAATTTTATATGGACGAATATAAGTAGTGATAAGTAGAGTAAGAAGAAAAATGTAAGAAGTCTTTGTACTTCTGAATAGAAGCAGTAAACATTTATTATCTCTCTATATTTTTACAAATAAATATAAAAATGATTGATAGCATACAAGGAAGATATATTTTACGCAGATATAAAATAAATAATTTAATTCGATAACTTTAAAAGAAATATAACTTGAAAAATCAGCCATTTTTGGTAAAGTTTTATTTGTATGAGAATGTTAAGATTATTCGAAGATAAAATTTAAGAGTGATACTCTATAGAATAATGTATTTTTCTTTTGAAAAAAATCTTATTTCTGAATGCGACAGATTACAATAATTTTTCTTTAATTTTCTGCAATTTTCCGTAATTTACATTCTTTTAATACCGCGTGATAGAAATATCTGTCTATTAAAGAACGCGATGCATACGCGTGCATCGTCATTGCCATCGTCGTGGTCGTAGTTGAGAAAATTGACGGTGCGATAAGCTGCTACAAGCGATGATGCATGTGCAAAGCGCACATTCGCGTGCTCGCGGTTTTACGCGGCGATGGGCGGCGGCGGCGACATGCAAAGTGAACGAGCGAGCGCGGAGTAATTCCGCGCGATAACATTATGAATAATGCAGCGGCGGGATTTGAAGCCCGACGGAAATGTACGTAACGATTACGCGCATTCCGACGCCCGGCGTCGCGTTTTCCCGCGGCCCTCCCGAGAAAATCCGCGGCGTGCCATACGTACGACCGTAAGTACCATCGTTCCGCTGATCTATATTCACATTTTCCGCCGCCGGGGCAAATACCGAAATGCGCGAATCTGTAGAATTTGCGAGAAGCGCGCCACGCGCGCGGTCAGCAGTTTTTATCCCGTGCGCGAATTAGCGAAATTAATAATGTGTCTCTTGCACAATTGTAACGAAGCAACAGTTACATTTTATACGAATTAACATTGGGTGATTCTTTGCGAAATTTTAAACATATGTATTATATTTTAATCTATAAATTGATATAGTTTTTGTTGTACAAAACAACACAGCAAAACAGTCATTATGCACTGTTTATATTAATTCACATTTTGCTTTATGTTAATTATGTGAATTACTTACGCTTGTTATTTGCATTTTATTATTATTGTACAGAAAGAACTATACATATACCATGCATGACAAAGATAAAGGATTGTCAACACATTGCGACGAGCAAACATGCACCATACATGAAAGTGCATGGAAGCTACGTATGCGTTGATAATTAACAGGAAGATTTACAGGATATGAAGAGCTTTGTAGGAGGAAATGTAATAAGCAATGTAATTTTCAAAGTACGAGGAACCTAGCGCTTCGAAAAGACTCATAAGATCCAACGTAAAAACTTGAGGATCCAAAGACTCAAGAATATTAATATTCATAGATCCAAGAAATTGAAAATATCAAATTTCAAAGATTCACAGAATAAAAAATGCAATTTTAGAGATGCAGAGAATTAAAAATATATGAATTAAAAAGTCTAAAAAAATCCAAAATAATCTAAAATTTAGAAACGCTTTGAGAAAAATCTAGAAGCGTAAGAAAAGACGAGAATGTAAGAATTTAACTCAATAATTTAAAGGGTCGAGGGTTGCACCCTGATGGGGTACTCATCCTTGTTCAAGGATGCAGAGAGCTCTGCAGTGTCGCCCTGGGAACAGCAAAGACCCGATCGACCGGGTGTCTCAGTTTCTTGGATTTTAAGATAAAGTTTTCGAGTTTCTAAAACTTTGTACTTTTTTAAATTTTTGTATTTTTTTCACTTTTTTAAGATCTCTTATTTATCTCAATTTTGTTACATTTTGAATTTTTTCGAAAGTTTCACAATTTTATCGAATATTAAATTGTTTAACTTCTGCATCTGTAATTTTGTTACAGTTATTTGAATTCTTGTTATTTGAATTCTCAAGTTTTATATATTCTCGGATTCTGAGTTTCTTCTATCTAATCTCTAATCTTTAGATTAGATTAAATTAGATTATTTGAAATCTAGATTCCCCAAATCACATAAATTCCTCGAGTTCCGAGATTCTTTGACCCGCCAAACTCTACATCACACGTTCTTTGATATTAGGAGAAAGCCATATTCTTTGATTAAAAGAATTTATTATTCAATGAATCTGAGATTAAAACGCCTAAGAAAATCTAGAGTTTAATGTGTTTAGCATTAGAAAATTTAAAAATTTCAGAGAATTTTAAAGATCTGAGGTGTAAGAAACGCTTCGCGAAAACATTGAATGACTTAAACTAATGAAAAGTTCATAATTTACAGATCTTATAAATTAAAAAATTTTAAATATAAAAAAATGTATTGAAATTATCCAGCTATGTAATCTAAATTAATAAGCTTTTTTAGATTTAGCTTGGGCAATTAAACACACTGCTTGATATGATTGTACCTAGCTATCCAAATAGATGTAATTATCTCATGAATAATTCATGCTCCTGTCAAATTATAAACTGAATCATTATCTTTCCATACTGAAAATTATTCCAGTCCACTCTAAATAGACACGATTACTTAACCATCACTTGATTAAATCGTATAAACCAATTTGCATGAAATTTTCTTATAATTCTTATTTTATACAAATTGAAATCGCAATTGTTTGTTTAGGACAACACTGAAAGCCAAGGAAGGGCGATTGAATCTCTAGGTGCCTTAGATCCAACCGCCCTTTCTCTTATCTTCTTAGAGCTAACAAGCGGACATGGTGAACAAGGTGCGCAGGCAGGTGTAATACCTCCATAACGATCAGCGCTGCACAATTCATTCATCCAAGCAACCGTCGAAATAATTTCTTCATAGTTTCCGGTTAGCTCGATAAATAATTTCGACCGTTTCGCGATCCTCAAATCCACTCAACACTCAGGACATCTTTCTCGAAAACTAATCGGAATAAGTGCACCCGACTTTCCGACAAACATGGTCGCTTGATAAAGAATTCGAGTCGATCGAATCGAAATTCTGTTTACCGCGTAACAATTTCCCCTGAATCGATATCAGATTGCTTATGCTCCGGCATTAAGCCGGATTAAATCCCAGCCACCAACGCTATCACAGCTACCGGACAGGCAAGCGAGCAAGCAAGATAAACTAAAAGGCTAGGCAGGTAAGCAAGCAGGCGTTACCTCGCTTAGATGTAGTGTCGGCTAAGCTGCTAATAAATCCAGATACGGCAATCACGAGAACAAAGAGTCCACAGTGTAGCCAGAACATGTTTACGTCTTAACAACATTGTTTAATTCCATATTACATGACGCTCGTGAAACACTGCGACGATGGCGGCTGCTGCGATCCCAACGGACTTTACAGAATTACTCATTACTACGCGCATAATCACCGACATCTACCGCCTCTTCGCTCATCAGACGCGGCACGCGGAACCGAGCGGATCGGAGTGTAACGGGGCGGATCGGAGCGGATCACGAGCCGATCCTTCCGACCGACGGATGTACGACTAATTTCGTGTACGATCTATCGGGGATACGAGTAGCACGCTCGTACGGGCGACTGTATATACGGGCGATGAAAAAAAAAGGACAGAAAAACAGCGAGACGGATGCGTCGCGCGAGCGAAGCGTAGCCGAGCGGATCTCTCTTACTCTGCCTTTCTTTCTCTGTTTCTCTCCCTCCCTATCTCTGACGATCTTTCTTTCTCTCAGTATCAATCAGTCAGTCAGTCTCTCTCTCTCTCTTTCTCTCTTTTTCTCTTTCTTTCTTTCTCTCTTTCTCTCTCTCTTTCTCTCTCTTTCTCTCCTCGCTTTTTTTATATCGTTTCTCAAATCATCTTCCGACTTCCTTCGGGGTTTTCGAGAGCCACGGACACCGTCGAGATCGATGAACGAGGAAACCGAGCGCGAAAGAAGAGCACACTACTTCCCGACGGCTTCTTCTTCTCGAACCCGGGTGCGGAATTGCGGTCCTACTACTCTCACGCGCGCGCGGCCAGAAGAGAAGAAACTGCCCGGACCGAATCACGCCTCGGCTGCCATCTTCTACCTACGCCGGGAGTCTGGAGTATGAAAATATTCTCCGCTCCCTCTCTTCCGATTCTCCTCCCCTCGCTGCCGCTCCCTCCTCGTATCTCCCTCCACCTGCTCGCTTCCAACCCCGCATGGCCCTCGCTCGCTCGCTCGCTCGCTCTAGCTCATTGCGCCGACGTTCTCCCTTGCGCGCGCGCGCACCCCCGCGCAGCGCACCACCAGCAGCTTGGACCACCACCTCCTCTTATCGATTTCTGCGCCATTCCGCCTCCCGTCATTCCTGTCAAATCAATAACTCGCCGGTCGCGCCGGCGGGTTCCTTGCTGCCGCCGCGGGGGCAGAAGCGGCATCGAGAGATGCGAGAACCCCCTCTGGCTGGGTTAGTGAACAGGGCGAGAGGGAGGATGAACCCTGGACCAGGTGGCGGGAGCTGTCATGAAGCACCGACCACCTGGAGATGGTGATGCTGCCGTTGGCTGGATATTGCGGGACGAAGCGTCGCGGAGAGCGTCGACGTGAATGTGGAGACGATTTTAGATGAATGATGAATACGCTGGGCGGGGAGGTGAGGAGAGGAGAGAGAGAGAGAGAGAGAGAGAGAGGAGGAGGAGAGAGGAACGAACAAGGAAAGCTTGAGCAGAAGTATCTAGAATCAAGTATCGATGAGACTCAAAGTTGAGAGAAACGAAGGACTAAAAAGCTTATTTCGCGTCTTGATTGCGCAAATTTTCGATTTTGCATAACGGGTTTCTTAGATCTCCGCGATTCTAAGCAACGTCTTAAACGAAAAGAAAGGAGAAGAAACAACGGAATAGTAATGCATTATTGCATTTTTAAGTTTTAATCTTTTCAGAATAGCAGATAGATAATTAGAATTGTGTAACTATAGCACAGATTTATAAATGGAATAACGAGAATCGAAAAAAACAAGCAGAGATAAAAGCAAACTGATAAAAAGATCGCTCATAAAAATTTCATCTTCAAATCAACTTGACGGAAAGTACACAAGCCATTAATTGATAGTACGATCATTAGTGTCAATCAAGCAACTGAACTGTAAACGATGGGGGAGAAAGGGAGGGGGAGAGGGTGAGAGTGGATTAAGTGACGATAGTTGGCACGGAGCACGAGATATTGGAGATGGTGGATCAGGTGGAAATTGTGGAGCGAAGAGTGGAGGAATTATTAAAGTGAAGTGGTGGTAGTGTGTGAAGAGCGTTTGTGATTGCGCTGAGTAAGGGGAGATCTGTGTACGTTGCAGCTATAGCTGGATGTTGCAAGATCGCTGGAATGAAAAGAATTAGGGATCGGAACCAGAGTTTCAAAGATTCCTAAAACGCGAGACGCTCGGTTGGACGCTAAATAATTTAGAAACTAGAATTTAAGAAATCCGGATCCTGAGATAGTTACCGTGCAACAAATATGAGGGTTAGACTACTCCGGATGCGAGAAATATATTTCGCGAGAAGATATATTTTTCAGGTACGAGAAACCTGGAAAAATTGATGAATTTCAGTATTCAAGATTCAAAGAAAATGAAAGATTCAAAAAGTGCATATCTCTCTTAATAGAATTTATAAAAATTAAAAATTACTAAGCTCAGAGTGGATAAAATCTATTGAACTCTATTTTATTCCGAACTTTTTTTTTTTCCTAATTTTAATGCGATAATCAATTTGTTAATTAGCTCTCTGTTATTTCTTTCCTCTCGTAAGAAGGAGCAAACGCGCTTGCAAAATTTAATCTAATTATTGTTGTTTACTATTCCCGACAGATTCATTAGTGCATTAGTATTTTCTTACCTGTTGGTCAACTTAATAGCAAGTTGTCGTATGTCTTCATCTTGACATCTCACTTCTAAATTTAAACGGACACACAACGACTTACACAGCTTGCGGAAACAATCCAGTGTCATTTATAGCTGACAGCTGTTTCAACTCTGAGAATGTATTTGAGATTCAAGTACTGCGCGCAATAAAAACAGAATACTTTATGTGTAAACTTAATGAAAATTTTAGTAAAATTTGTTCATGTAAATTATATAAGGTACAAAATATGCAAGACAAAAAGCAGAAAATTTAAAATTACTGTGTAAAAATAGTTCATCAAGAAATTTCTAATAAAAATTTTTAATATTCAAGAAAAATCGTAATAAAGTTTGAAAAACAATTTTTAAGCCTTTAAGATTTAAGAAGGAATTGTATTTTATTATGTAATTTCTGAAGTTTTTACAAAAGTAAAAAAAGAAAGAGAAAAAGATTTGTGTCAACAGCACGAGAACAGAATATAAATCGCGTCTTTATCTAAGACGACAGATTAGCAGTAACATGTGCCAAAATGTTGTCAGAAGCATAATAATCGATTTTGGGAGATATACGAAAGATAGGGAGCCAACGTCGAGGCATATGAAAGAATCATTCACGTGTTGGTTAAATTTAGGTTGACGCGTGGGCTACAGTGCAGACGATTTATTTGACGATTATTTATTCGCAACGGCATGAATACAGTAATGCAATATTTCGTCTGCTTTTCATAAACGCTCTCTGCTAATTACTAAAACATAAAAAAATAAAAAATTATGTAATTTATTTATTTAATATATTAATTACTCGATACTTAAAACGTATTAATAATAAGAAAAAAAGATCTGTTCTTCATGCTTTAATGATAAATTTTAGCTGCGGCATAAAATTTATTACTAAAGAGAATCAAAAATTAAAAAGTTATTCGATTTTTGGGTATTTATTTTAAGCAATCTGATAAATAAAGTGAATTAGCATTGCAAAGAAATAATAGTATTAGAAGCGATTATATACATAAATAAATTACTAAGGAGAACAGCATGCATTTGCGAACATTAGACGTAAAGTAATAATTATGTTCTAATAATGGAAAGAAATCGAGCGCCCTAGTCTCCTCTTTCTTACTTCTTTTACTACCTATTTGTTTATTTGTTTATTTATTTATTTACGTATAGTAGGTACATTTCGCCTGTATATTAATCCGTAGTCGAGAGAAACAGACTCGCGTTCGCAATGGAACTCATTCGCCGCGCGCAGAATTCGTCATCGCGTTTTTCGCGGCGAAGGAAAATAATCGAGATAAACGCCGTTTTTCGCATCAGCGGAAAACGGAGTTAATGCACAATGCGAAATTTGACCAATCTAGATGGACAAAAATATTTTACTGAATTATATCTAAACATTGACATAACGTTTAATTTTATCTGTTACTTCTATGACGATTAAAATAATTAAATGACATAGTTTCGAAAATTCTTTGAAAGCGTATATATGTACATATAAAAGCAATTAAATTTAAAATTACATACAAGATATTTTTGTTAATGAGATCCACTTGAGAAGTAAATTCAGCATTAAAAAGTAATTAAAAGAGTCTGAAATTTAAGTTTTAAACGCAAATTCCAGTTTGAAAAGAAGATTCAAGTTTGTTTAACATTTTTAAAAAATTTATAAATCACAAAATTTACAGACGCTGCTAATTTGACACAATTAAGTTAAGTTAAATTCTATAATTAATTTACAATGAAAAAGTAAATATTATAAAAGTAATATTTATTATATTTTACTCTTTATACTCAAGACTCTTTCTTTGCAAATGTTTATGTTTTAGTTTAATGTATTTAAATTAAGTAATTTTATGAGAAACTAAAATGCTACTTTGAGTGAAGTACTTTTGTCCTCTTCGCGATTGGGCAAAAATTTCTCATTGTGTGGCGGCGATTGCACCGGCCACGGAGACAAACAATTGTAATCTCTCGTCATTGTAAAGTGGCAGTCATGTGTAAAAACATCCGTCTAACATTAAGTAACTTTATAAGCTCGACGTCAACGCGGAACATTTCTCTTCAACAATCGAGCAATTTCTTCTGGCATTATCCTGCGACGCTTCTGCACTGATCCTTTTAATGAACGCATCAATCGGTGTGATGGAAGGATTAAATCTTCTGCGTACGACAGGCTTTGTCGGACCCCCAAATTTGCATATCATAAACGCTCACGGAATGAGAGAAATTTCACTTTCATCTTCTGATGTCTTGATTAACTAATTTTTAAGTGAAAAAAATAGAGTTACATTTTAATGCTACGAATATAGCATGCAATCTGATCGGAAAATATTCCTAATCCAAGAAGAAACACCATGACATGTGCTCAGAAAGGATTAATGAAGAATGTCTGTTGATGATGCTCACATCGTCAACTGTGAATAATTTTGCACCGCCTTTTTATTGGTGAATTTTTTTTTTATCAACGATTGTTGACGACAGTTTCTGCAAAAATTTTGAGAAACAAAATCAAATTTGGAGGATTTTGGGATTCAAGGAATTATACGGAAAGCCGAGAAAAGAATTTCGATAATCGTGGATCTAAATGTCCGATAATTCAATTGTGTCAAAATCCAAAGATTCGAGGAAGAATAAAAAATTGAGCTGATATTTTTATTAATAATATTCATAAATTCGTTTAGACATCATTTTGCAGGAAAATTCACGAACAAAGTGGTGCAAAAACTCGCTCGTCGAAAAATCGCACAGGATAATGCGATTGTCGTTATCGTGCATCGAACTCATATTACGTAATCTATATATATAATCTATATATATATGTATGCGTGTATACATATATATATATTATATATATGTTACTTATGTATTGTGTGTGACTTATACATTTGGCAATTATAGATCTTCGTGGATAATCGTGGTATAATACGATCTTTATTATTTACATTCTTGCTGCTCTCTCATCAAACACGCATACGCACATTCTCACGCACACGCGTATATATGAATTGTATATATATGTATATACATAGACACACATGTGTGGTCTACGTGTATTCTTGCTGTGGGTGTATGTTATGCATTCATGTATATATACACATATTATACTTCGTAATGCGATAAAATGTTAAAAAAATCGTCATCGTCAGTACATTAGTTCTCTCTTTTTCATTCATCGTTAATGCTTAAAAAATCTTAATTTGCTCTACTTGTTTTATGTTTCATTTTCGACAGTGTACAGTAGGATTGCGAATGAATAGTTTATATTATATACTTTATATTATGTATAAACATGCGTGGTATGCGAAGAAAGCGTTCGCGCAATATATTTTACAGTAAAAAAGATTCTTAATTAAGCTTAGTAAATTCATGTCGTAATTGTTATAACAGTATATTTATATTATGTAAATCTATATGGATATATACACATATTGCAATATAAATTTTAATTTAAATAATTTTGTTAGAAATATTTCAAAATTAATTAATTTGTTATTAAAATCGCCTTTGGGATTTAATAAATTCAATATATTCAAATAATGCGGCTATTAATGCAACTCAATATCCATTTTTTTAAATTAATAATGTAGAATTTGAAAAATTTGGAATTATAAGGAACTTTTTAGGGCTCGAGAAATTTAAAATTCAAGAAATATGAGAGATTTTGTGATTTAATAAAAACTTATTATTATCAATTCCTACCTATGCTACAAATAATTTTGTTTCACATAATATAAATACACATTACAGTAATGAAAAAATTTTCGAACATGACGTGATGAAAAGTACAATACAATACTATGTATACAACAAAACCAAGACGATGTGCGAGTGCTTTCTTAACACACTGTATACGTGTATACGGATTATCGTGTCTCTCGCGAGGGAAGACTCCTCCTAAGTACCTCGTCCTGGATAAATCTCACAGGAATCTTTGTCTTTTGATTTACTCCCCTGCTTGTTCCAAATCTTATCTTCGTAAGTTAACGCAATTAATTAGTTTCATTCATACATTAATACAAGCTAATTGCTATGCGGCAAGAGGTGCTAAATGTAGTCCGCGATCGGTACGAGTATTTATACAGAGTACTCCGAAAGTTTCGCGCGGCGTTGAAAATTAATTTAACATTTTACTTCAGGATCGAAGATATATATATATATATATAAAATTTACAAAGCAATAAATGATTGTTGGGGAATGGATATTTTTAAAAAATCTATACTTAAGTATTTTAGGATGGAAAAATTCGCAAAGCAATAACTCGAAAGTCAAGTATTTTTAACAATTCTTAGCAAGAATTAAAAGTATTTACTAGAAAAGATTGTCGTCGCGATGGTAGAATGCTCGATGCACGTTTGGCACATACTTTTGGAACGCTCTGTATAGAGTTTCATTTCTGCTACATCAAGTAACGGCTACATTTTCTTTTCTTTAAAAGTAGTTAAAGGTTATTGTAATGCGGTCATGCAGATACACAGAGGTAATCATAATGCGAGGTTGCTTACGCTAAATCTTTCTCTTACATTGATCGTCAGTTGCTCACTGCAGATCGATCGATTGATAGGTCGTGAAAAAATCGCGCCGTTATGCGTAAAATTACGGGAAAAGCGCAACTGTATCAGGCAACGAATTACACAAATGGGAATGTAGCATTGCAAATATTTTTTTATAAAATAAGGACAATGTAATATTTATGATATGAGAATTCGAAGATCCCAGAAAATTAGAATTGCAGAAATCTAGGAAGAATTCAAGGATCCGCGAATCTAAATATTTTGTCACTTTAACGATTGAAATAATTATTCAATGCGAGTCGGTTTCTGTTTGAATTATACCAGGACATTGCACTATTTGCAAAGAAGGATCGTAGGAGGAGGCTGTGAGTAAACAAATGGCGGAGGCAATATGTCCTAAATTTCGGGTGTATATGTATAGTATCTGCATGTACCAGAAACAACAGTTACAACTTATAACAATTCTTTTACTCTTTTTTATCATTATTATTTATTGTTATTATTAATATCAGTATTTGTGTTGTTGTTTTATTATTATTATTATTATTAATTATTATTTAAAGCACTACGAGACCAGAAACCTGTAAAGGATCTTCTTCTTATCGTGAAATAGTTCTCGGGAGCAGAAACCTCTTCATTTTTCCAATTGCAAAAGCATATATTCTTTTACAATGAAAAAATGGACGATCGATTTGACAGATCGAAATTATTCCTGCTTGTATCCCCCCCTCCC